TTCATTTATAGTCTATATATATATATATATATATACATTTCCACTAAATACAATGTTTACCACAGTTAGTGTTACTTAAGTAAAACCACGGTACATTTTCTTAAGCGACTTTAAATCCTACTAGTGTGATTATACCAGTTGATTGGGAGATTTATATACAAATGTATACATTTTGTGGAATTTAAAACATTGCTCCTTGATCTTGCAATGAATCTCTATAGCACCTGATTAGCTAACATTCATCATCTTACCTTGTTTCGCAGAGGCGAGTCTTTTCCGCAGTAAATCTTTCCAATGTGCGGTTTTATCGTTTGCCATTATTAACTTTATTTGATCATAATATATTTAAAACTAACTTAAACTAAATTAAGACTTATTATTAAACAATTGTATTATGTTTGAGTAGCCTAGGCGGTTGACGAACTGTTTACATCTCTGACCTAAAGGCGCACGAGTGACGTCATTGAAGTGCGACTGCTCAGTCAGGAGAGTGAAGAGCTGCTCGCATGTACTTTTGACCAGATCCTGTAAGTTAGATGTTCTTGTTTAAATTACCGATGATTGTATTAACAAAATTGCGTTTAAAAGATAATGAGATATCTTAGTGGGTCTAAGGAACTCAAGATTGTGTGCTTTAAATGTAAAAGGACATTTCTTTAGAAGATAATTTGCTGAATATTATTTCTATCTATTAATTGTAGATACAAATATTATTAAATATAACTTCATAGAGTTAGTGTGTGTTACTGTATATGTGTTGAACAGTAAAACAGACCTTAATTCATAAAGCAATGAGATTTTGAGACAGAATAAGTCATTTATTATACGTTTTACATAAAGCACCTTTAAAGTAGCGCGTAGTCTGAAAAGTAAAGTGGACTGGTAGGGAAATGATGGGATCTCTTGTTGTGTTAAAATCAAGGACTTGCATAAAGCATCTATGCACATCATGGGTTGTCAACCCCTTGTATCTCAGGCCTGCTTTGGCTTGTTTACCACAACAAAACATTGTGCATGCTGTCAGGTTTATCATAAATCCACACACACAATATTACAGCACAAAAGGAGACGAACAAGCACACGGCCGAGTTGCTAAAGAAAAAGGGTTCACTCCCAGAACAAGGCCTGCATTCCCAAATTCAGTATTTACTGCTGGAACAGCCAGAAGAACGGCTGAATATATGAAAAAGAGAGCTGGGGTGGATACAGAAGAGCTATCAAATAATACACCTTCGAGAGGCAGAGGGTCTGTGAAAGTTACCCTTCCTGATCATCCGCTGACCACATCCGAATGGGCAAAGTTCAAAGAGAGTTCCTCCAAACCTGATCGCTTTGAGATGCACATGATGGAAGGACTGCTGGCGGCTAATGCAGACATCAACATCGCCAAATCTCTCTTGGCCTACGTGGTTCAGGACAAAGGCACCCTTTCTTACGAACTCCTTTTGAGGTACCTCACACTGTGTGTCACGGGTGGGCACCACTCGGAAGTGTTTGACACTTACGACATCATGAGAACTTGCTTTAAGACTCTTGACACTGGAGCCTCGTCCCTGTTTATTAAAGGTTTCAGTCAAACTGAACGCTGGAGGGAGGCGCTTGAGGTGTTGGAGGGGATGAAAAAGGCCCTCCTGCCGTCTCCTCGTAACTATAGTGATGCCATCGCTGGGGCGGCACTTCATGGTGACGCTGGGACGAGCTGGATGCTGTACGATGAGCTCCTGGAACTGGGTCTCGTACCTAATCAGGACACCTGGCAGTGCCTGTTTCAGAGCGGCATCACTCAGCGTGGACAGGAGGACAAACTCTTTTCTGTCCTGTCATATATGAGAGATAATCAGATCTACCCTGAGGAGCCGCTGATTAAAACTGTCAAAGCTTGGTTTGAGAGGTAAATGTAAAATATTGATATAATGTAAAATATAAGAACATAAACATAATAAAATATTATATTTGTATTTTATAAAATGTAAATACTGTTTTAATTTTTTCCATCTGCGCAGTTTACCGGATCAGAAATGGAGTGGGAAGTTCTCATTTGTGGTCCCCAGGTACTCAATTTTCAGTTTTAATCAAATATATTGTCAATAAAGACTATTCTTAATTGATTATTGGTGTGGAAATATCTTGTGTTTTAGTGGAGAGTGCACAAACTGCAAGGCATCACTTGAATCCATTCAACTGACTGAGGAAGAGTATGCTGAGCTGAAGGACAAAGTGATGAAGAAAGTGATAGAAGGAAGCGACATCTTCAAGAAAACCACCCCAGAGGTCTGTCTGTACATTATATCCTTCTTTTACCAGAGTATATTTACCGAAGTTAATTTGATAGATAGATAGAGATAGAGATAAAAATTGACATTTACACCAGTGTTGTTATAGTTAACTATAGTTAAATATAAATATTAGATTAAAAACATAAACTTACAAATTAGAAATGGCTTTGGCAACTAACTGAAATAAATTATCTTAAATTCAAGTACTAAAATGACTAAAACTAAAATAAAAATAAACATAGTGTGTTTGAAATTAAAATAAATTTAAGCAAAATAGAAATGTTTTTTAAAAATAATAAAATGACAAAAGAGCATGCAAACGTTCCAATCATAATTAATTAAAAAACAATAAATTCTTTTAATTGTAAAATGTCTTAATTCATTAGATATTTTAATAAATATGAATAACATGTATTAGTAGAATTTATTTGCATATTAAAATATATATTACCAAAAAATGCATGGTTTTTTTTTATTGTCATTAAAGTCATGTTACAAATAATCTTAATGGTATTAAAATTGGTTTAATCTTTATACACAATATTTTTATCTTTTTCATTTCCTGGTGAAATGTCACCTGTGTGTGTTTTTATGAAATTCCCCTTTATGTAAAGGATGTGTTGTTTGAAGTTTAGTAAGGCCTTATTATGTAGTTACGTTTGACCCCACTAGATGGCGACAGTGTCCTATACACCCTATATTCACATTTCTACATGACCGATTAAACGTTATACATGTAACATATGTTATAGATGTTAAACAGGTAACATGATTTTTTTTATGCTTTTAGATTATTTCCTCTTTGAAAATGATAATGCAATAAGGACACATGGACTAAAAACTAAAGCTACATTTTGTGTTGCACCAAATAGGCTGCAACAACATGATAGGCAAGTTGGGTTGTGTAGCTGTCCAGAATTAGAAGATGTTCCATGCAGTTTTGATCTCCGTCTTAAATGGAGTCTGCCCCTGAATTAGATGATGTTGTCTGGAGGGCTGCTTTATTCAGGCTGTGGGGTCTATAGATGTCAAAAGCATGTGATCCTGTCTAGTTCCACATTTAGATATGATGCAGGGGGCTTTCCAACACATGTTCCTTCATGTGTCTGTCGGGTCCCCGGTTTAGAAAGCTCATGAATGCGGTCCAACCGAAGACACAAGGTCACAAGGCAAGCAACTCCTCTGAAATTCCAATTCCCAGAGAGAACAGTCGTGTTTGTTTGCAAACTCCGTTCTCACGCATAGGAAACACATTCAGTTTCCAAGCACTGTCTCAGAAAGGAAAATTTTCATACAGTACATATTGGAAAAACAAAGTACTCAGTATAGCCATAAACAATCTCTAATTTGGTCGTGCACATGATTAATGCTGAGACATGTGTACTGCTTATGTGCCTTTAGCTGTTGTAAAACACAACACAATGGGCTTTCACATTTCAGCCCTCAAAAGCCTCTCACATGAGTGACCCTGGAAAGTCCGTGCCTGTCTGTCTGCAGCGCTGCATGGACTCCAGCCCCCCGCCATTGCTGCAGCAGTGCTTTATGAAGTGAAACCAGAGCAAGAGAGTTAAAACACCCCCAGTCAAAACTCTGCAGAAGCATTTAACAACCCCTAGACAATCATTTTGCCTTTGAAGGAAATAAATGTGGTGCTTTTGGGTGGTTAATAACGTGACATGCCAAGCAATGACAACTGTGTCCTGCTGTGTGACATGCTATACTTCATCAAAAACAACTTAAAATGTTTTAAATAACAGCTTTAAAATCTTGCATAGTTATTATACATGACCTCATAGTAACTGTGAGATTACATGGAATATTTGTACTTTTACACATGAAAAAAATGTTCTTTTTCTACAACATGTAAGTTTCAAGTATTATTACAAAAAGAAAAAAATATTATTACATTTTAAAATAACTGTTTTCTATTTTAAGAACAGTATTTATTTGAAATAGAATGTCATTTTTGATCAATGTAGTGCATAATTGCTGAATAAAAGTAATTATTTTTCAAAAAAAATGACTGACCGTGGTAGTTTTAACGGTAGTTTATATAGAGTGAAAGTTATGTATAATTTTTTAAAAGTACAAATATTTCATGACTGTGTTTGTATGTTTATATATTAATATATATATATATATACATACATACATACATACATGCATGCATACATACAAGGTTTTAATCCTAAAACCTTGGTGTTAAAAAACACCTTTTTAACACTTTAATTTGTCAGTTTAGTTTAAATGTGGCCAAGTTGTACAGTTAATACAGTATATTGTTATTAACACATTTAGAAATCCAAGTGAAATATGCAGATTAGCATATCAACAATTTAGCAAAAAATCCCCTTTTTTAGTCTCCTTACATTCAGTGGCCTGTAGTTTTTCTTTAGGTCAAGCTTGAGCTTGGGGGAGCCTGTTTTTTCGTTTCAAAAACAGCAAGCTTGTAATAAAGAAAAGTACAGGACTTGCAGATGCCTTTTCATTAATGTCTACCGCGGGGCACGGTGTGGTTTACACAAACTCTAATTCATCTAATTTCTTTGTTCTCTGTCTATTTTTAAGTGGCTGCCTTTCATTTTATTGGTATTTCATGCATGCTTTGAACAAAACTGAGCAGGTACTTTTGAGGATTTACAAAATGCTGTTATTTGTTTTAAATGATTCAAGCAAAAGCTTGCAATTGTACATTTGAGTTAATAACCACTCAAGGCTGAAGGAGCGTGTTTTGATTGTCATCGGCCATTGTGTATATTCCAAAAAGAAAAAATAGCTAGATTGTGATTACTGTCAAATCTGGATTAAACTTGTTTTGAATGTGCATGTTCCTGACACACCCATATTGTAGGTACACACAGAGTTCTGCACGGCGAGCTAGTACCGCACACACGTGAACTCTCAACACCATTGGGGAATCCCTGGTGTTCCTGTTCCCATTCAACATAACCTCTCCATGGCCACGAGAGGATGCGGAGCGAAACAAAAACAATAAAAATGCACTTACAGTTCTAGATCATTGTCATCATAGATAAAACCAAGTGAAATTGTATGTTAGGATTAATTTCGTCCCATGCTGAGAGTACTAACCCAATGGTGCAAGATTTTTTAAGAGTTGAACAACTGATCACCAACTGCTAACTCCCACCAAAACCAAAGAGGAATTCCCCAAATATCCAGCTCCCCTTCCCCCCTCTCTCTGTCCGTGGCACTCACCCCTCCTCCAGTCATGCATCCTCTCACCCAGTACAAACGTGCTACTTAACACACACTTAACAGGATTTTTAGCATGCAAAATAGCTGCACGTATTCTTTTTTGGTGTCTTGTTTTCACACGTGGGTCACAATCTTCTGTTTTTGCATTTTAGTGGAAATTGGAATTTTAGAAGGAAAAATTCTCACGCTTCAGGCAGAACTGAAAGCACTGGTTTCCAGCCACCTGACAGTCCAGGAATGCATGTGGTTTTGACAGGCTCAGCTTTGTGTGTATTAAACAGAGGATTGTGTATTAGCTGTTGGCTGTTGTTTCCTCAACTTTGAGGAAGAGTTTGCAGTTCACTCAAAACAATGATTAAACTTCATACTAAACTTCATTGTTTAAATATCTTTAATTTATTGGAGAATTTTAATTCTGGAAAAAAAAAAAACATTTTTTTTACTCCAGTATATTTTTGAAGAAATATACTATTGCTGGTTATTTAGAAGTCAAGAAAATGAAAACGACAAGTGATGTCTGATTTGAAATGAATCATTCTTTTGAATCGATGTGCCTGTTGAACTGGTTTATGGATTCCACGGAATAAATCATTTGTGAATTAGATAGATCTGGTTGATTGTTTAGTATTATTTATACACTGTAAAAGATTTTTCTTCAAAGTTTTAAATACTATTTCTTTTTACTTTGGTTTGATATTTAATTCAATGTGTTACTTTGCCATTTCTTTGAAATTATTTGTGAAATCTATAGCAATTTCTGAGTGAAAATCATTTCAAAATTTAAAAGTCATACTGTTATAGTATTTATAAATATTTTGAATATTTTTTTATATTTTCATTTTTTATTTTAATTTGAGTTTAAGTTTTAGCAATATTGTTATGTGCATTTGTCATTTTTATTAGTCTTTGTGTTTTTTTACATTTCTATTTAGCTTTAATTTATTTTTATTTTAGTTTTAGTTATTTTAGTACTTATTTTATTTCAGTACGTTGCCAAGGCGACATTTCTAATTTTCATTAAGGTATTTTAACTTTTATGTTTATATATATATATATATATATATATATATAAATAACCATTTTAAAATACCTTAATGAAAATTAGAAATGTCGCCTTGGCAACGTACTGAAATAAAATAAGTACTAAAATAACTAAAACTAAAATAAAAATAAATTAAAGCTAAATAGAAATGT